CTCTGAACAGCAGAAGTGATGAAGCCTACTTGCCCATGTATTACATCTTAGTGTTGGATTCTGTGGTGTAAAATAAAGATTGATTTAGTGCTAAAGCTATTCCCTCTGGGGATGGTAAAAGGATTTCATTCCTTAATAGTTCTTTAATAACTGCCTGAATACATTTGTAAGCAGAAATAAACATTTAAAAAATAAGAATATGCTTTTAGACGTCATTAACTTCTCTCAGTCATAAAAAAAAACCCCTGCATTAAATATGAAACACAGGCCAGGGGTGGATGCTTATAGAAAGGATGTGCTTTCAAGATCATTGTACTTAAGACAGGCTGCAACCTCCACACAAAAATTGAAAGCGTAACTCAACTATCTGTAGCTGAAATTATAAGAAATTGATGAAACAAGACAGGTATCCAACTAAACATATGAAAATAAGTAAAATCTTCTCTCATGGCACAATGTGATATGCCCCTATTAGTCAAGTTATTACCTGCAGTAAACAAAACATATCGTGAGAATTCTGTACTTCATCATGCATTAAAGTTTTATGAAGACAAAACAAAACCAAATAAGAAACAACCAAAGAAAACCACCCTCAAAAAGAACCCCACCAGCCTCTGAAGGTTGGTTGGTTGTTTGGTTGTTTTGGGTTGTTGTTTTTTGTCTTTTATAAATGAAGCAGCTGTCTGATCTTAAGTCAGTGGGAAGCTCCCTGGTGACCAGGAAGTCTGGCAGCCAGTGGAACTGGGATGAGTAGAATGAGAAACTGGAACTGAGGAAATCTTCCATGAGTGTCCAGATATCCCTGGAGAACCAAGTCTGGGGCATTTGGTCTCCAGCGTTCTGACATGAAGCCAAGAGGTGCTGAAGCCCTGATAGTCTGTGTACTTATAGTCTTGAGGTTTTCATCCTACCCCTGCTGTGGCTTCATCAATATGTTGAAAAAGGGAAGTCTCATTGTGTCTTTGAGTATCTTACTATGTTTGCCTTTCAAACTATTTCAAGTTTTCCCCATTTAAATTCCAAAATTCCTATGGACTGTATAAGTCTTGCAAGGCCAGGTGGAGTAGACTGGTGAAGGAGCAGCTGTTCTATGACTTTCTCCCACCTTTCCACAGATGACTGAATGGTGCAGATGCAGTACAGGTTTTGGTACGGAGGTGTTGTTGGACATTAAAGGCTTTCCTTTAGAGAGGCAGGCATATTGGTAGGCATTAAAGGTTCTCCTTTCGTGGTTCTCTCTCCAAGTGAACCACTCTTCTGCGTTGTCAAAATACTACTTTTCTCTATATTAATTTAATTTCATGTCACTAGGAAAAGTGCTACCTAGTCTAGGAGAGAAATGCTTTTCTGTTCAGCTCTTCAAGGGCTTTGAGCGATATCAGTATCGTGCTGATGTCTACCCAGCATCAAATCCAGCTTTCACACTTTGATGAATGTTTCCCAAAACAAGGGACATAATGTGGTTTTAAATCCCACAAAGTACTGGTTTTATGTTTCCTACCCATTCCTCCTTCTTGTTCCCTTTCTTTCTCTCTGTCTCTTATTTCCTTGGGTTGCAGCCATTTTGAATGGAGGCCACCTTCCCTTTTGGCCTGAGAACTGGACTGGAAATATTTGAACCTCCAATCCAACTCCAATACATTTTAAATGTTATATCATTGAAATTCAATCCGTGTAAGTAAAAAAAAGAGCCCACATGAAAGTGAAATTAACCGAATGTATCCCTCTCTCAGTAAATAAAATAAAATAGGAAATAGGTAAAGGAGAGAAATGTAAGGAATATTAACTGGAGGTACTTTACATCTCCCTCAGGCCAGCCTGGCAAATGTCTTTTTAATCTGTGTTTCATGAGAACACTTGCAATTTCAAGTATTTTTAAGAGCCAGGAGGCTGAGCTCCATTGTGCAGGGTCATGCTGGCATGAATTGCTGGAACTGAGCCGCCTGTCCAAGGCATGGAAGAGGAGTTACTATATTTCTGTTGGGAAACTGGCACAGGTGATGGAGGAAGGTGTTTTCCCCACTTTGTTCTGACCGACCCTTTTTTCTTGCCCTTTGCATTTGCTCCTTGGGCGTTCGGTCGTGTCGGCTTCCTTGGCCTGGCTCCATCCCCAGTCTTGATGACTACATTCAGAGTTTGTAGTTCTTCCTCTTTCCTGCCAACCTTTGCAGTTCCTTTCTCTTTCAATACCTGCTTGCTGTCACTGAGCTAACTCTAGGGTCTGAATTTCTACATACTTACAGATATGCCTCTGTCGTTGGGTCAGAATGACCTATTCATGGACCAAATTACCCTTCTGATTAATGTTATAGGTAGAGGGGGGCATGTAGGCTTCTTCAGTTCATCCCACTCTTTTCTTCCTCTCAGTGAAGGAGCACACGTGCTGAGGACTAACCTCAGGGTGTTGAAGAGTACGACTGCTGCTTTGCATTCTGCAGAATGTGTCTTTTTCACTGCTGTGTATTCATGCTTGCTACCTGCCCATCTGACCTGGGGGTTAGAACCCAGCATTTTGCCTCCTAACAAAGACAAACACTAGCTGTTTCATAGGAAGGTTAATCCATCCTCTGTGTGCCATTTTCCAGTCAGGTGTGTTTGGGTTTGCCTCTGATGACCACATTATGCCTGAAACCCTGAGCAGTTTCCATGTTACTATGTTACCTGAGTTAATGTGATGACTTCTAATATTCCTCTGGCTTAATCTATGCTCCTGAGTCACAGTAAAGTAGGATCTAGAATCACTTTGCTCTCATTGGATCTTCCATCCTTTCAAATTACCTTTTTAGGCTTCTGTCCTGAAAAAAATGTTGTGCTAGCAGGATGCAAAATTACATGACTGGAAGTTGCAAATTCTTATTGCCCCATTGAAGGCAGAGTGCTCTTTATGTCCCTGGTGGTGCCAGTGTCCAGGGCAGTGTCTAGAAGCTGCTGTCGGCATCCTGCCCTCTGGGTGGTTTTAGTCAATAGGAGCGTTCTTTTGATGAAATGGTTGTCTTGAACAATATGGGTTGAGATCATCATTCCGTTTTGTGCACAGCTTCTGGGAAGAGCTTTTGCTGCTTGTCTGATCTGCCACCAGGCTCCAGAAAGAGCAATAGAGATTAGAAAATCAAGTTAGTTGCTCTTTATTGAGAAAAAAAAAAAAAAAAGGCACTAAAATCATTAAGCAGTTCTATAAAACAATCACAATTTTTCTAAGAATTTAGCTGAGCCCAGCCAGCTCATTTCAGATGTGTATTCTGGCCTCTTTGGTGGTTCTTCCAAACCTGGCATTTCTGATTCCCTGTCTGCCCCTCCTTTCCCTCCCACATGCTTGACCTCCAACAACATTCCTTCGCTTGTCTTAAGACCTTACATGTCGTTTCACTCTCCCTCTCCTCCCAAGAATGTGATCCTGGCCTGAGCTTTCTAATTGTGTGTAGCAAGGATAAAACTCCTTGCCTTGCTTGGCTGCCCCCTTGTTTGGAAACTCACCCTAAACATTTCCACATGGTTTGCACTCTTTTTACACAGCTAAAATTTTCTGGGTTTTTTTTTGCCTTTAAACTTTTTCTTGTTTAAAAAAACCCTCCAGCTTCTTCTACCTTGGGCTGCTGGCACTGACCTTGCCTTGTTACTGTTTGCATTTCTTTTGTACCTTTTTGCAGCTGAAATCTCTATGGGCTTTTAAATCTGTCAGCAGCCGCTACCAGGCTCAGTGTGCAATTTAGCTCACTGTTTTCACAAGTTTCCCAGCCGTGAATGCTTTCCAAATGAGCCATTGTTGGGCTGAGTTAAAGAGGTATTGTCTCTGCTTGGGCTAGGTTAGTGTGGGTGCCAGAATCTGCATGTGCAGCATTCTTAGTGCTGCAGTGTCTTCTTGATATTGGACCCTAGGACACTTCTTTCACCAAACACTTTCAAATATACAGGAAAAAGAAAGCCCTGCCAAAACTGATTCATTGAAACATTATTGGAAGCTTGTCTTTATGTTACTGAAACTCTCATTTAGACATTGTCTGTCCCTGCTCATGCAGGCTGCTTGCTATGAAGACCGCTCTTATTTCTTGAATTCCTGTTAGCACTTGAAACTGGCAGTTGTGATTGGAGCCCTGTTCTGGTCAGTGCCAAATAAACACAGAGCAAGTAGCAGTCCCTGCTTTGATGATTTTAGAGACACGTCGTATCAGAAGAGAGTCTATTGTTATCTGCCTTTTACAGAAGAGAAACCGAAGCTGACAAATTCAGCGGTGTATCCAGAGGGAGCTTGTGACAGACTTGGGAGTCAGTTCTAGATCACAGTGTTATCACTCGTTTTACACATGTAAGGTTGGCTAGGCTCTAAAAAGGTGTATTCCACTGAACTCACTTTTCTTAACAGAGACTGAATTTGCTGGTCTGTTCAACCTGATGTGACGCTGTGTGGAGATATGTCCTTTATGTCTGAAACGCTGGTTGTCTTTTCCGGGGACTGTGTGGTTCAGAGGACAAACATCTGGACAAACATTTCAACTTGTAGGTTGCTGTTGACATGTCTGCCACTAGACAACTGTCTCGTGACCTTTGTTTAAAAGATACAGTGATTTCACCATTCTCCTCCTATGGAAGACCAGGTTGGTACTGCAAGCCAGGAAAAAGGTGTATTGAATTTTCAGCCTTTCTCTAAGAGTCGTGAGGAGTGTCCATGTCACATAAACCAGTCCTTTGAGTTTTTTACTTCATGGCTTTCATGTGATCTTCCCATCCTTGACTAATCATTAGTAATGGAAGTTTGATACGGGTGTTATTCAGGCTGCCTCTCTTCATAGATTCTGCTCTGACAGGGAGAACTTACAGTAGCAAGGTAAAAATTATGAAACTAATAATCTTTGGAATCTTTGGGAGTTACTAAGTCCTCTGCCTTTTGATTGAAGGCTAGTCAACATACCTGGTCCAGATTCCTCTCAACCTATTAGAAGTTACTAATGCAGCAGCTGACTCATTTTTTTTTTTTTTTCCTGTTTCTTTTTCACAATCTCCAGGATGAATTGGATCTCACAGACAAGAACAGAGAGGCTATGTTTGCACTTCCTCCAGAGAAGAAATGGCAGATTTACTGCAGCAAAAAGAAGGTACTACTGTTGCCCTGATTGAAGCAGCTCACCAATAAATTCTGTCTGCATGTACATAATTCTGCATGATATAATTCTGGATTTGAGCTACATGTTTATCTACTGTTTACTCAAGCACACAATTAAGTGACGTAAGGATTTTTATCAGCATGAATATGGCACAACTTTCTTATAAGTAGTGTATGCATGTGTGATTTCTGAAGAGAATGTTAACAAGTTAAAATCATACGTTATCCCATTTTGAATCTTTCACATGTTTGGTTATGAGTTCGTTTTTTTTTTCTTTGAGCTGGAAGAAAAGCTATCATGGAAATATTTTAAGGAATTTTTAAAAACTTTTGTAGGTTGCTTAGAATAGACAATGTATTACTGAAATCTTTCAGGATGTCTTAAAATATCTGTAAAGTATATAATAATAGCGATGTCTCAAAACTTGGTAGTTCAAGGTCTTCCAGAGCTTGTCGGAAATGTTCTGTGTTACACTGGAAAGTGAAGAAAACCTACTCCTATCAATTTCTATGTAACGCTTCTCCATTCAAGGTCTTCAAATTTCTGAAAAACTGTTGAAAGGGGCAGTAAATCAGAGGCTGGTGTATCACAGTGGGTATTTTGTCACTGGCAGGGTGATGGCCAGGTGAATTGACAAGTTGTATCACCGTTGTGAAATTTGTAAAAGAGGAATTCCTGCAGGAGTGGTGTGGTAGAAAAGTTTTGCTGCTCTAGGAAGGAAACAGACAGTCAGAAAAAAAGATAGCCCCAATAGCATGTATTCATTAACAATAAATATCAGGGGAAAACAGCGTGGTGTTTGTTGGTTACTTTCATTTCCCAAATGTGCAAGCCATGCTATGAGAACATCAGTCTTTATATGTAAGTCCGCATAACGGAAGCTGAAAGAGGACGTTCGGATTTCAGTACTGAAGATGGCAGGTTGAAACCCTGATGATGGTCCTTCTGAGGTTGTGTTTGCTGCCCTCCTTTCCTCGGGGGCTGAGGAGGGAGAGAAATTAGCTTTCTTACTATGTAGTTAAAGAAAACCTCAGTCAAACCAATCAGATGGATACTTTGCATGTGTGTTGCTTTTGGTTGAAATGCATCACCCAGGCAAGTTAATAGCAACAAATTAGTTACAGTGCCTCTGAGCTAGCAATAATTCAGGAAGTGCGTAAGAGCAGTCTAGGCTCAGTTCTCTTTCGTGCTCTCTCCATTCTTCTTCCTGCTGGTCCACAGAGCTTGCAAGTGAAGGGAAGGTGCAGGCTGCTGTGATTAATGTCTGCTTTACATTTTTTGCCGGCTGGCTCAGCAGGCTTTTTCAGCTCTGGTGGGAGAGGATCTATTTGTAGCCATCTTAAAGAACCACACATTCCACCTCCCGGACCAGTCAGCCTTGGCAGAAAGATTCAGACTTTAATGTATTTAATATGTTGGTTGGATTCACTGGGTTACTTTTTTTTTTTTTTCTTAAGAAAAAAAAAAAAAAAAAAAAAAGTAGTGGATTTGATATAAGAATCTTGAAGACCTCCAGAATTAAAGAAGCTGCATACTGGAAAATCTTTATAATACATTCAGAGTGCAACCTCAGTTAGCTGAACTTCAGCTATCCAAAATGATGTACTAACTGGAACAGGATACTGTTGCCAGATGTCTATTCTTTACATTGTAGATACTTTCAATTACTTGAAACCTTAACTGTCCAATGTTATTCACTGTTTCCCTCACAGGCAGTCAGATGATCAGTGATGACATAGCACTCTCGCAAGCTCACTACCTAATCCACCTATCATCGGTGTTTTACAGTGACAGAGAAGCTTGTTGCAGGCTTCCCTTTAGAGGAAAGCTGCCTTTTCCCTGAAGAATTTGTAATCTAATTTTAGCCACAAAGGGTCCAATTCCTCACTTGGCAGAACGCTGTCAGCCATCCAGGACAAACCCACGGAGAGCTCTGTCTTGCTGAGGTTGGGTTCTTTGAGTTTCCTGGGCAGCGAGGGCTCTACGCTTTGTAATATGGCAAGTGAAAACAGTATGAACTACAAGATCGAGAAATGCAGGTTGAGGCAACTGTTCACAATCATCTCAGATGCCTTTTCTAGTCTAAAAGTAACAGAAGGTCAGAGCTTCCTGGTTTGCTCCAAAGATGGCGAGATTAGTGGACTGTCTTAAGTAAACAAATGTCACTTGCAAAAACGAAGATTGGTCATTGTAGGCACACTGTCCATTTACCTTGGCAGTCAGACTTTGGATATGATCGTCTACGGTACTTGTTCCCAGTGTGGTAGCAGAAAGTCACTATTGTATCAAAAAACTCATTCCACCTGATTCTGATACCAAGCCTTTCTGAAGAAACAGGGGAAGACATGTACATCTGTGCATTTAAGGTTGTATTCCAGGGGCACAGCTTGCCAGATGACATTCCATGGTACTCAAAGGAGATTCAGTTCTGGATTGAAATGTCATGGTTATGGGTGACATCTACAGAGCAGCGTTCACACAGGGTTATACAGCCATGCTTGCTTTGGCAACTTTTGACCATTCTAGGTTCGTATCTGAAACCATTAGTACTAAAAACAAATCAGCAATGATTTGATCTAAAAGAGTAGCTTCAGCTAGCAGCTCTAGTAAGTGCTTCATTTGTGGAGTAGCTATTTGCAAGGAATAAAGGCAGCTGTACTGGAAAACGTGAATGTGTTCTCAGTCTCAACTGTCCTCTACCTTGCAGTTAATCAGCACAGAGTGGACAGTGAGAGATGTAGTTGTCTTAATTTGCATCAGAAGAATCATTAATCGGTCACCACTGATGGCACCCTGACCCTCTACCCAAAACACCAATATTCCATGTTTTAGATTGCGTCTTTCTCTGTAGTATGAACTTCCCCTGATACCATATTGAGTTTTAAGTAAAGCCATATGTAGTCAGAATGCAAATGATGACATCCTCCCCGCAGTTCAGGTACTTTATTCTGGTTTTGTTCAGGATAATCTTCATATCTCGCCATCAGCTGAAATTTAGACTTACATAAAACACACAATCTGCTTCTGTAATTCCCTCCTGTAAAATTTTCTCTAGATTTCCTACTAGTTATACGCTTTGGAGGAATTGCATCAAGCACTAGACCGTGCTTTCAGATGTATTTATTTGTAAATTTCTGAAGTCAAGGTTTAGAAAATTTTGTTATTAGGTACTGTTTTACCAGGAGCTGATATTAAAGTACATAATCTCATTAAATACTGATCAAATAGTGATATGGAAAAAAAAAAAGTTGTCAACTCAATTATTTCACCTGTAAATGAGCTCATATGGGGAACCCAAAAAGGATAGAAAATGGAGGTATTGCTTCAGCAGACATTGCTTTGGATGTAGTGTGTGTTTCTAAGAACGAGACTTCATTGTGCAGGTAATAGCTTATTGCCTTCTGTACAATCCTACGAGCTCTTACTTATTACTATTGGAAAGCGAGTCAAGTTGTTTTCTTTTTATGGCCTTTCCTACCTCCAGAGACTAATTTGTAAGCCTTCAGTCAAGCAGATTTTAGTAGGAAGTACACATATTTTGCAGACTTAAACAAGTTTAGGGTTTTTTTTTAACTTCTGTGTTTCTCTGAGGGGAAAATTGGTAGCCAATCTCTTTCCAAAGGACAGTCAAACTGGACTAGCTGTATCATATGGCTTCTCTCCAAACAAACAAAAAAAAACGTCAAAAATCTCGATCCTAATAACTATGTCGAGCTCTCCTAGATACTTTGGGGTTATTTTGTACTCTTCTGACTTTAGTTGTACCCTAGAATAGCTGCTTTGAGTTGATTGTGCTTTACCTAATCAAGTGAGATTATTCAAACCCAAACAGTGAAGCAATAATCAGCACACTGCAACTTTCTGGAAAGAGGCATTTGTGGCATCTGAAAAAAGAGTTCATGCTTATAATCCTTAAATTGATTATACTTTTTCTATTATGGGAAACAGATCTAGAGAAAGGCTTCTCCACAATGGCAAAATAGGCTTTAAAAATTCTGAGGAAAATGTATCTGAGCCATACACTGCAACAGCCAATATGCAGAAAGGAGAATTTGCTTATCATTCCATCCCCTGCAATTATTTTATTAATATCTGTCAATTGCATTTTTCATCTAGCTGATGAATTAAAAAAAAAACCTAGTAAACCGAATATGAGAATAGGAGCCAGGAAAACTACTTGCTTCTAAAAGTCTTTGACCTAAATTGTTGCATAATGTCAAAGAACTTGTCATTATTATGTTCATATATAAATACATTTCTCGCTATCTGAAAGAAAGAGTAGCAAAGTTAAGAAACGTTGTGGCAATGTTCTGGCCACGCTATCATCTCACAGCTTTTCCCTGCGCTATATACACATGCCTTGGCTGCACACAACTTTCCTTTTCCCCTTTTCTTTTTCCTAGCTATAATCTTAAAAATCTGAGTGTATTTTCAGTTTAAGTGCTGTTCATCCTTTTTCCTTGCTGCACCTGTCTGTCTTCAAAGGTGTTCTTGTAGAAATGGATTTTGTGGTGAAGTCTCCAGATTTGAGGGAGCTCACAGCAAGGAGCAGGAAGGATGGAGCAGAAGGCACTTTGTGCATTACACAATCACTAAGGAGTCCAAGTCCTTTGGACTGAGATCAGTGCTGAAACCAGTGAAGCTGCCATCCAGGTGTAGAGGGCCCCAGAAACCCTTCTAGAAAAAGCTTACACCTCTACCACAAAGAAATGGCAGATACTGCTGCATCACCTTGTGTTCAGTTCCCTTTTCCTAACATTACGACTGCAACCAGCCCTGCATTAGGCTTCAGAATGCCCTGAGGAATCCTAGCCTTAGCCACACTTTAACTTTTAGTAGTTTTACTGCCATCTTTTTTTACCATTTGCAGCTCAATTTCACAAACTCCCACTTTGGTCCCATGCTGGCCGCTTAATGTTAATGAAGATAATGTCTACAGGTCAGGTCTTGTTTTTTTTTCTTTCTTTCACAGTTTCTCTTTGAACTTTGCC